TTTTTTTTAAAGCCGATTTTTTTTTTTTTTTTTTTGGTGGGGGGTGGGTTGGGGTGGGGTGGGGTCCGGACACTCTGGGGCGGACACCAGACCCGGACATCCAGACCTAGACCGTCTGCACTGCGGTCCGGACGTCCGGATTGTAACCACTCACAAGATACTTGCCGCTGCCTTTTTTTTTCTTTTTTTTTTGTTTGCACATGTTACTGCTGTGATTGAGTATGGTGTCAGAAATTCAGAATGACATGTACACACTACCTTCTTCCCCCGAATACAACGTACGGTCATTATAGCTGTATTTGGGGTACATTTCAGTCTAAATACAGCTACAATGACCGTACGTTGTGTTCGGGGGAAGAAGGTAATGAGTTGTGGGATCTCGACTTGGGCTTCCAATGATGTTGGGAATCTCTTCTAGGATCATTAAAAAAAAAAAGATCACAGATTTTGTGTCAGGTAGTGGCATGTTTTTTTTTTTTTTTTTTTTTTTCAGTTAGTGTTGCATATTTATTGTATCTAATCATTTCTGATTTGTGAAGGACAGCCTATCCCATGGAATGAAATGCATGGATGTTGCAGAGATTGACAGAGCCTGGTTGCACCACTCGCCATCCGCCGCCATGTACAATGAATCTTAATCTGAAGATGGAATTAGTATGGATCCATTCAAAAAAATGTTGGCGGATGGCAAGTGCTGCAACTTGGCCCTGAACGAATGCATACTCCAAGCCATGCGGTGAACTTTGTTTTTTTGGCTTTTTGTGTGTGTGTAGAGAGGGGGGGGGGAGGGAGGGAAGACCCAACGTTGGGAGTACTATGGGGAGTGGTTTATATTGGGTAGCATCAGGGTTGCCGGCATTCGGGACGGGCTGAACGCCCGAACGTTCGGCCGTTCGGCCGAACGCGGACCAAAAAAAAAAAAGAAAAAAAGAAAAAAATCCAAAAATTGATGTTTAAATCTGAAAAATATATATGTTATGCAGAAGAATAAACTAAGCAACATTTGCCTCAACGTTACATCCAATTCGTTACCAAATTTGAAATAAAAATCAAATACTAAAAATAAATAACGATAATGAAAATTAGAAAAAATAAAACGAGAACGAAATTATTGAGTGGGCGAGCACGTTTTTGGCACTGCCATCTTTGGCGATTTTTTTATTTTTTTTTGGCTGTGACAAATGCCATGAAAATTTTTATGTGTATCTTACATAAGAGAGAATCTAGAAATAAAGTTTGAAAAAATAATAATTTTTTTCATGCCCCGAAATAAAGGAAAAACAAAAAGTGAAAAGAGAGAAAAAACAAATTAGTGAATGGGCAAGCAAGTTTTGATACCACCATCTTTGCCGATTTTTCATTTTTGTTTGGCTGAACAAAATGACTTCAAAATTAAGGCAGAGATACCTTACATCACAAAGAACACACACACAAAAAAAAATCAGAAAACAATAATAATATTTAGGTGCCCAAACAATTTTTGGCGGGGTCCGAACCCCTACAGGTTCAGGCCTCGTACGGGGATCCGAACGCCCGAACGTTCGGGGGTCAGCTTAGGGGCCTCCGTACGTTCGGCCTGGCAACCCTGGGTAGCATGATAATATCTTTTTTTTTTTTTTTGTTTGTTCGTTTGAAGGCTGACGACCTTTTTGAGATGTCATCATTTCATTGAGCTGACCGGACCCAGGTAATTCGGAATTATTTTTTTTTGGATTCATCTGATTGCATGGTCTGTATTTGAAAAGGTCATGGGTGTACCAAATGAGGATGATGATCTCTGTTATTATCCTTGTGCCCCGGATTTTGTGGAGATCGTTCCCAATCTCTGTTGCCTGACGTCTGGAATGCCAGGTCATTATAGCTGTATTTTGCGTGCAATGTTGTGTCTAGACACGGCGACAATGACTGGGCATTCTGTTCGGGTGAACGAGGTAATACTTGTCTGCACAGTTTCGGCCGTGCCCATCTTCTATGCCTTCCGACGTTTTCGCAATTGCCCGTCTTCAGCCGGATGCGGATCTTCCCTCCCTCCAGGCAGAGGGTAGGGAACTAACTGCCTATACCAGGGAAGGAGGGCTACACCACCAGTGCACCTGATGAGCCTGGCGGTCTCACGCCGCATGCCGAGCTTTGCCGAACTGCCAGTCACACGTATTTTCCCCCCCTTTTTTGGCTGGCACCGCCACTACGTTTGTGTGGTCCTATAGCCCTGATCCTCCGGAATTTTAGGAGTGATCCCTTGAGCTTTTGAAGTTACTTCTGAGGCCGTGCACTGGCTGCTTAACAGTTGCAGTTGGGGTCCTACAAGTAGCAGTGAACGGACGCCAACTTGAACTGCTTCGAGGTCGGCCCTGTGAGTTGTTCATCCTCCGGCCCGCTGAATCGTTTCATCCTTCATGCCACGTCTCTGCGGGCACTGTACGCGGACCTGGCTATTGCATGACCGTTGTCCGTGCCACTGACCGCTGGGAGATGTGGGACATCAGCTCTACGGTCCGCGCTTACGACTGATGTCGGAGATTGCCTCCTCTGCAATGAAATGTTTTCGTGCCTCAGCGAGCCGTCCGCACACTCTTTTATGATGCCGAGCATCACGTTTCTGCCCTCGTGCCCCAGCGTGACAATGTTGTTTGTGTCAATGCTCTGTGATTGTGTTTCTGCACGACTCTGGTCGTCCATATGGTGCAGATACGTGGATCACTTCTCTGCGACCTTCTCCCTTTTGCAAAGCTACGCTCAGTGTTACTCTCGGCTGCAGGAGTCATTCTCTCTGCTACGATCGCTACCCTCTTCACTGGAATAGGACGTACTGTCATTTTGCTTTTGTTTTGCATCTGGACTGAAAATTGGGCCAAATACGGATATAATGATCGCACACGTGTGTCCTTCGGGACATCCGTTAAAATTGGAACGATACAGAGAATGAAGATTAGCACGGCACCTGTGCAAGGATGACATGCGTAAATCGAGAAACGGTCCCAAAAAGAAAAGAAAAAAAAAAAAGAAAACAATCACACACGCTCCATTCGGGGGAAGACAGTAGGATGCCACGGTTTCTAACGTCTGTGTGTGCAGAGAGAGGGCGGACTCTACTTTCTTGGCTGCGGGCGCCCTCCGCATCCAGACATGGTATTTCCATTTTGCTGCCAGGAACATTGTAATGAATGCATGGTCTTCTGCTATGGTGCCTGCCTGTTATTCCTTGGTGTTTTCTTTTTCTTTTTCCTAATTCGTCTTACCTTCTTATAAAAGGGTGAGGGACGACGATGAGATGTCATCATTGAAGTTGATTTAACTTACCCATGCCAGGTAACTCACAATTATTTTTTTAATCAAAATTTATTCTGCTCATCTGGTTCCGTCTGCATCAGCGCTCCGGCTGTATTTCAACAGTTCATGGGTGTACGAACTGAGTGAGACCTGTTGGTTCTCCCTTTTGTTAGCCCGCAACTGACAAGCGTTTTTTTTTTTTTTTTTTTTTTTTTTTTTTTTTTTTTTTTTNTTTTAATGACCTGATGGACCACGAATCAGATATAGATTGATCAGGAAAAAAAAAAAAAAAACGGATACTACACTTGAAATGTACTTTTAGCCAAAAGGCCGAGGAAGGCATCAACAACAGACATGCGATTTGCTGGAAGTAGGGAGTGTTCAGTGGGCATGCTTAACCCCAGCCATTCTGCCACTTACTTCTCTGCGAATTCTAATCATAGGTCTTTTCTATGTCATCATCATCCACCCCATCTTTATAGTGCATGTCCTCTACATCACGAAGGTCAGTCTGATTCCTGAGACTCCCCTTATTTATTTTTTCCATTTCCAATGCTTTCATCTTCAGTCCCAATGCTTTTCATCTTCATTGCGTGTTCCTTAGTTGGTAGAGGATCAGCTCCTGAGTCCTAACCTATTGGTGGCATGTTCAAATCCAACTGCTGCCGTGAAGGGTTCACACTTCACACTTTCCGTTAATTTTCCTTTTGTCATCCTTTGCTTTGTCTTCCTCCCATCTTTTATCTCTGTTTATGCCCTCTTCCTTTACTCTGCCTCTTTTTTTTTTTCACAGCGTTCAAATGGGCGGCTATGGCACACCGGGATGGGGGGAGCTCGCGCTCAGCTTCATCGACGTGACGAGCCTTGTACAAGAGAGGCATACTAATAATGAAAGAAAAGGAAGAACTGCGTACTACGAGGCAAAATCACGTTTTCATCAGTGTGCTCTTCATGGTCGTCTTCTGTATATGTTTATTGTCTGTTTCACAACGTTCGCTCTTTTAGTTGATTGATTGATATGTGATCATAAGAGAGAGAAGGCAGACATTGTGCATGCACAGGAGCATAACCAGGAGATAAGTACCCTTGGAACTGTGGCCGCAGCTGAACGCCATTGGCTGCGAACCTGTATGGCAGCGACTGGATAGGTTGGCCATGAACCGGTTCGCAGTCCAATACCAAGAGCAGAGCTATAGGTTCTGCGCGCCAGAGTAAACATTATTGTGCTGTGCGACAGACACTGTGTTAATTGCGGCCTGTATACCTCACTACTGTCTTCCCCCGAATAGAACGTACGGTCATTGTAGCCGTATTTGGACCAACTTGCAGTCCAGATGCAGCGCAAATGACCGCACTTTCTATTCGGGCGAAGACAGTAGGTACGGGCTAAAGTAGTGCTGTCTGAACCCGGTTCAGAGTAGCGCTGTCTGAACCAGTTTCAGAGTAGCGCTGTGTGAACCTGTATTTTTCGGCGCTGCCACAAAACAGGTTTAGAGTAGTGGTGCCTGAACCTGTATAGTGCTCTCTGATACAGGTTCAGACTCTTCAGAGTAGTGCTGTCTGAACGTGTGTAGTGCTTCTTCCTGAACACGTGTTCTGTTCTGCTCTCTTGGTCCACCAAGTTGGGAGAGGTCTTTTGGGGCTCTACCATGATCTAGACAGGGACATTGTTCTGTGGGGGTTGTGAAGACCACTTGGAGTCTTGGTTACTACTGTCATTCCCCCCCGAATACAACACACTGTCCATATGGCTGTATTTGGGGCAAATTTCTGTCTACATGCAGCAATAATGACCATACTTTCTATTCAGGGGAAGGATGTAGATGAGCTGTAGCTCATACGCCCGTCCATTCATGAGGTGAGTGATTCAAGGCTCTACGACTCAGTTCTTTTCTGAATCCGAACTGTAATTGTGTTGCCCGAAGGAACAAAGTGTCCACATTCTTTGAATCTTGTGCAACCGAAGGCCCAAAACTCCCCCTTCCCCCTACCCTGGCCCCCCACCTCCACCCCATCTCCCCCGCCACCTTCTCACCTTCCTTTCCCCTGCTTCCCCCCCCTCCCCTTCTCCCCCC